CTCTACCACCCCACCTCTGCCACCTCCACCTCCATCACCACCACCTCCACCTCTACCTCCAACACTACCACCATCTCCACCTCCATTTGCATCTCCATCACCATCACAACATCTACCACCAACTCCACCTTCACGTCTACCTCTACCACAAATATGTGCTGCACTCCAACCGGGTGCCAAGCACTGTTCTCGCTACTGCAGGTACAGCAATGAACAAAGCGGACAAAAATATCTGCCCTCATAGAACTTACATTCCAAGGGATTAGAGCACATTTTCTTGTAACTCCACTAGGGAAGTCACAATGGACTTGAGTGGATCAGGGCAAGTATTGTAAATGGTGATCTGTGTGTTGATTTGGGATCAGAGCAGGCAGGAGCATTTGGTTTGCCTTATCCTTTATCTTTATTGATTCCCCACTTGCTCTACTTCCCTAGCTCTGGCCCCATTTCCCCATAGCTGTCATTGCTCTGGGAGTTTTCATTGGCACAAGACAGCTAACAGCTGAGCCTGCAGCCTCCATTGTCACAATTCTTTGACCAGCAGAGGAGGAAGAAACTATACCTGACAGGACTCCTTCCAAAGGATTCAGCATCAATTCCACCCTAGCATGCCCCTAGACCAGAGGACCAAACATCCCTGCTGCATCACTAACATTATAGCTAACGTTATATGCTGTGCTGTTGAGTCTCTCAATTTCTCGCCTGGAGCCCCGGGACCACAATAACTTGACTTTTACCCTGGTTCTGGACAAAAAAGGTTTTCTGTAGGAATAGAAACCAATGACCTTATTAACTTGAAAAAAAAAAAGACAGAGAGAATTTCAGGTCATGTCAGATTTATTACGTAAGTGAGCAAGCCATAAAATCTAACGATTTGCAGTCATTTTGTTCAATCTAGTATCTGAGGGGAAAAATTGACATAAAAATTTTCATAACTCTTTAGATTTTTGTCACATAATTAATTGGTAGCCTTTGCTCATGGAGATGGTTGGATACCCAATTTAGTGATATAATTTAATGGAAATTATAAGTGACTTTGTAAGAACATTTGGATTAAGACTGGGAAGGTGTCTTAGGAAGTGTCAGATCCAGGTTCCTCCTTTTACAGCTGAGTAAACTGAGGTAGAGAGGAAATAGTTCCGTGGTGGAAATGGCGATCACAATGTGCAGAGCTTGGGAAGAAGCTGACTCCGAGTCCAGTGCTCTTCCATTAATACAATGTGGTGCTTGAGCAGGATTGGCCGAGTGGGTCCTTGGGAGCCTAGTCTGAGTTGCCTGGCCAGCAAGCTGGATGAAAACAGCAGCTCTTATTCTCTTAGTCGGACCAGGCTCTTCCCCAGAGCAGGGGAATTTTTAACATCCTTCTGTCCTAGTCCTCCATGAGTGCACAGCCCCCATTCCCTGCAACTGCAAAAGAGGGGCACCTCGCAGCCAGCCTGCCTGAGGGTGAGCAGCCCACCTCGCCCTCCTCGAGGCACTTCTTACCTTGGTCCTATCAAAAGAGACAGACAAGAGGGAAGGGTCCCTCCAGTGGAACACAGAACCCCATTGCAGGTCCAGCAGCCTCCGTAGGGGATAATTAGACCATCAGGAGATCCCGCTTTCTCTTCTCTTGCTAACCTTGGCCTCTGTAAACTTTGCCCAGTTGTGTGTATTCTTAACCCACTTTGTATCACATTTCGGCATTTGTCCCCAACTCTGGTGCCTGACAGGTGGAGATCCAGCTGAGACCTACCTGGCAAGACACACATTTAACCTCTGACCTTTAATTTTCTAACTGCAGACTAGAATTATATCTGCTCCCAACTACTTAACAGGTCTCCAGAGAAAAATATGATGAAATCAGCATGTGCTTTACTTATGGGCGAGGTCCTTGAAATGAAAGCATTTTATAATTTGGAGTGTTCCGGTTTGCTCCTCCGTCTAAGAAGCTCGCTTGGTGAGAAAGTATCACCTCATTCTCTTGCTAATTCTGAGCTTATCACGCATTCAGTGCTCCATAAAGGTTGACTTGAAAGCTTTCATTTAAAACCCAATTCATATGAATTAGTGTACTACTCAAAATGTCAGGCTACTAATAGGACATACATAGCAACTGGAAATTGAAATAAGTGCATTTTAATAGAGCTCAGAATTAGGATTTCCTCTATCTGTTTGACGTAGTATCACCGTTATAATTGAGGGTAACTTTTTTTCCTGTTGGCATTTAATGACTTTCGATCCTGAATTATCAATCATCCTGAATTTGTTATACCATTTTTCAGACATAAAGTGGCAAAAAAGAAAGAAACCCAAAGTTCTTTAATTATGTGTAATACGTAGGATTGTATCACCTAATACAGATAAAGGGAAAAAATGGGTGGATCTGTGATTATTAAATTGATAATTCTTCTCCCACATACCAAGTAAGGTCTCACTTAACTATGACATTACATGGTAGTTATTTTCTTAGGCTTTTATTTTATTTGAGAAAAGTTTTATTTCAATTTTTTAATCTTTAAAATGTGGTCTAATTATTGACAAACTACTTTGGGAGGTTTCAATAAATGTGAGCCCCTTGTCCAAATGGAAAGCAAGGTTTATGAATGCTTGGCTCACTTGAATGGAAATTTCAAAGTAATTCTTGTTCCTCACTTTGGCTTTATTTGAACACTTGGTCTGACATGAAAGTCTCAAACTTAAAACAGTACACAAGTAGGAAAAGCTGTCAAAAAAAATTAGGAAGCATCTCATTCTGGGTCCTGGGGAAGTCAGATTATTTAGCATATCCTTACAATCATGCTCAATTTCTGATATGCAAGTACGAATTTCTTTATCATTGCAGATTTCCTAGCCATAATAGAATAATCAACGTCTTCTACAGATCCTTAAATTCTTCCGGGCTGTTACTATTTCTCTTTATATCCAGAAGAGGGCAGTCAGGTTACATGATATTGAAGCAATCACCAGTACCCCAGAAAGTAAGATTTTCAATAAATCTCAGTGATTGGAATGAAGTTTTCCTTTAATGGTATTAAAGGGCATTTAGAGTTACCTGAAGATTTTTCTCCTTTTATTAAAAACCTTACAACCTTTGTTGGGTTGATACTTTTCACAAAAGGAAGGAAGTGATGGTACATATCTATGTGTACATTTCTTTTCACTGTGCGTTATTTCTCTTCCTACCAGCCCTCCTTCCACATTTGACTAGGGTGTGGGGGAGGGGGCAAATCTTATCACGTAGCCATGTAGACAGTCCTACTTTATAACTTTGTGACATTTTATAAGTAAAAAAAATATATCTGCCAGAGGAACTTAAAATCCAAAACACTTGTAGCAACGCTTACTTGCTTTGAGAAAAAAATTACACTTTTAAACTGGAACTTTGAGTAAAACAGTGTTAGGAGCATGTGACCCTGTTTTCTCCTGAAATATCTTCTAGAAGCGTCTTAATGAAAATAAGCACAGTGCTGAGCACAAAATATCACAAATATTTTTGCCACCTTTTTCTCTTCTTCATTAGCAATAATGCTAGAGACTAGGAAGCCACTAATCTTACTGAAGATAGAAAACCAGATGTATTTGCCAAGGAAGCTTGAATATTTAAGTGTATATATTTTGAAAGAATTTGTTTTAAAGGGCCAGTTTTAATTTAAACATATAAGAAAGAGTTGATTTTAGGAAACTAATTTCAACAGAAATAGTGCTACAAGAGTTAACTGCAATTCAGGGTATTTAATTTTGTCTTTATTTTAAATGTTCCCTTTGTACTAATAGTCTTCTAATGCTATTTTTAGGTGCTTGTACATGGAGCAAACGATATTATCTGATGCACATAATGTATGTTTGTGTGCGCATATATACAGATGTACATAATGTATACATATGTATTATGCATGCATCATATTGCTATGTTAGTTTCCGTGAGCTACCTGCCTACAAGACAGTTTTCTCAGTGGTTGTGAAATTCACCAGTCCTGCACTGCTCCTCTTGCAGCCCGTGGCTTAACTGGGAAGCCAGGTGATCTTCCATCTGATCCGTGTCCCCCACTCCCTCTGTCACCATTGCTGGAGAATCTGCCTTCAGATTTCAGAGCTGCCTCTGAAAGTGACCTTGCTCAGCAAATGCTGATTGGCTTATGCAGAAATGCCTTTCCCAGAAGTAGCGCTGCGCCGTGCCAAGTTGTGCTGCTACAAAGATGGGTATGGAATCAGGGTAGGAAGGAGGAGAGAGGGGAGGGACGCAGCTTGCCAAGTCACTTGGGCTACTTATAAACAAACTTCAGCCTTGTTTCTCAAGCCCTTTATGGCGGAGAGGGGAGGCTGGACGCACACTGTGTCCCAGGCTCTATTTATGTGCACTGTAAACCTTGGGGAGAGCAGCTTTCAAGAGACTGATTTGGTTTAGAAGATGATTTCCATCAGCTACTTTTGAAAGATACGTACTATTTCAGCACAAAGCTGAAGCCAGTTAGAGCTGCACTAGGGATTAAGAAACGGCATGTATTTTAATGCCTTATGAATAGGAGTAGCTGATAAAAGAGGCTCTTGTTACCCCTGCTACATTTAAATGTGAAAAGCAGCTGCTTCTAGTAGGGAGGGGGTAGGGGAGTGGAGAAGAGATATATTATTTTCATAGGGATTTAATCTTCAGACTACACTGAAACCATAGAATACCATTGGCCATTCACTTATCGGCAGCTCTCTAATCGCGCTGAGATCTGTAAGATTGTGGAGGGGAAGAGGGAGAGGGATGGGGAGGCAGAGAAAGGGATTGTGTGTCGCGATGAGGCTGGCCATTTTCATCTGCATGTATGTTTTGAACCTCAGATCAAAACGCACTCGCGGTAGCGTATTTTCGCTTTCCCTTATAAGCATTAACCCTTTAAACTTTTAAAATGCCAGCCAATTAAACAGTTTGATGCAACTAAGCTGTCTTCAGAGCGTGGGCTTAGCAATGGCCCCTGAGAGTAAGATGACCATGGAGACCTCATTAGAAATATGGACCATGTATGTGTGTGTGTGTGTGTAGCATGAAAGAGACTTTCTTCCCACATTTTAGGGGCAGCATAGTTCAGGTAGGATCCAAGAGATGTCATGAATCCAGCAGAGAAAGGCTCTGTCTGAGAATTTTATTGCCACAGAAAGCTGGTGATATAAGTAAAGCTTAGGATTATTAAACTAGTAGGTCTTTGGCAAATGCTATCAGTGTTTGGAGAAATATGCCTAAAGGATGTACGTCCTTTGAATGAATGAATGAGTGAATGAATCTGGGCACCATTTTTTCCCCCTCCAAGTTACCGTTTTATAACTTGGTTTTGTTTATTCTGATGTTGAGCTTTTTGAAATTGATCACAAATTAATTTTCACGGTATGTTTGATCCCTGACGTTTCTAAAGCAGTTCTTGAAAAACCTAGGATATTGCTCCGGGATATTGTGAGGAAATCTTTTTGATAAGAATGAGGCCCATTCTCTACATCCGATCTTACTCTTTCCAATTTTTCTTAATATTACTACTCTCGAGAAGTTAAAGGATTAAAAACAAGTCTGGTGGTGATAAATCGGTAGTTCTTGCCTAGCTTATAATTAAGGGTAATTCACATGTAGAGGAAGGTTTGACAGCTCACATGTTTAGAAACTTGCATCAAAATGAAACCAATGAATCATTTGAAGCCAAAGTACAGCCAGCCCCACCCCCCTCCCCCAGCAGGTGGACGACTGCATGGGGCTCCTCCACTCACCAAAAGCAAGAGGAAGGAGGAGCAAGGGCAACCCTCCAGCTGCCCTACCATGCATCAGAAAGCCAGAAATGGGCAGCACGCTGTTTCCAGGTCCCAAGCGCACCCAGGCCTGCTTCCCAGAGCCACACTGCACACTGCACACCTCTCCCACCTGCCTAACTGGGTCGTTTAACCAGACAGGAGGCATCCCTGGCCTGGGCAGCCCTACTCTCCCGGCTCCCAGGGGTCCCGTTCCTGGCAGCCTGGCAGAGCAGCCTCGAGTGCTGGAGAAAGCCACTTTGGCATATTAATCACAGCAAATGAATGTGCCCTGCCGGCTCTCGCATGGGGCACCTCGCTAATACTGGGCTTGCACTACAGCTTTCGGATTCAACCAGTGTTTTGATTTCCTGACCCAACTTCCCTCCACATGAAAAACAGCCAACAGACCAGCCACACCAGGTACCACCGCAAAACATGCAGAAGCGGCAGGCAGCGAGAAAGAGCTGGAGCCAGCACCACAGGGCAGGAGCAAGCCGGAGGAGGTGCGACAGCAGCCAATTGTGAGCCGGGAGAAAGTTGCAGCCACCGGGGCTGCGATTCCTCTCTCGCTGCCGTGGCCGCCGCGCCAGCCCGGCATCTCTGCTTCGCTTGCTTTCTTCCCTTTTTTCCACCCGCTCTTCTTCTTTCTTTTTTTTACACTTGGCTACGGAACATTAGATTTGACGAAGGGAAAGCGATTTAACATCTTTTAACTGAAGGAGGTTGATTTTCATTTGAGACCAAATGGCTCATTTTTACCTTTTTAGCTCCTGGAAGAGTAAAAAGTGAGAGGTCAGCCCTGCGTCACCATGGCAACCCACACAGCTCGGGCCAGGAGCAGATGAACGGAGGTGATAATCGGGGGGAAGTTTCTCCCTCTTCCTTACATGGCATTTTCTTCCCATTCAGGGATGTGCCTGGCTGTATGAAAACAATTATGTCTTTTTGGAAATATAAGTTTTAAAATATTACTGCTAAATTGTCTGACCCGGAGCTCCGACCTTATGCACATCTCTGGGTTTTTTTTTTTTCGTTTGGGATTGAGACCATCCTAACCCCCCATCACTGTCCTCAGGGGCTTGAATTACACCAGCAAGATCATGTGGGCCCCACCCTGGGAGAATCTACCCCTCAATCCAAGAGTCCACCCGCCATGTTGTAATAGCCCAAAGCCTTAATAGAGAATCTGGCCCTGATATAGAAAACTAGGGTTGAGGGCCCCAAACCTCAGTGCCTGACACCTTATTGGAGCCTGTCTGTGAAGAACTTCTTGATCCTATTCCAGTCCATGGATATTAAAGAGGAAAGAGGAAAAGAGAAATCAACAGGGCAAATGTGCTGGAAAGGCCAGATGAAACCCACCAGGGGCAGCCTGGGCCAGGGTGGGAAGGAATTTCCATGACCTTGGAGCGCATGGACTCAAATGTCCCACACCTTTCTCCCACAGCTCTTTACGCCGTGTGATCACCAGGAAATGAGGAAAGACCCATGGGTACCAGGCCCTGGGTTAGGTGCTGTACCGTCTTATTGCCTCTGATCCTCGCAGTGGTCTCATGAGGTGGGTAACTTGATCTTTGTTTTCCAGACTAAGAAAATGAAACTCAGAAAGGGTCAGTGATGTGCCCAGGGTCACAGATTCCGACGTTGGCTCCGTGTATGCCTCAAGTGGACTCTCTCTCCACACTTGTTAATATCATCCAGATTCGGGAAGAATAACTACATATCTGAAGATAGGAGTTTGTGTTTTTGCTCAGTAGTTTATTCATTTAGCTGCAATGAAACTGTCAACTGCCTGCTATATTTTCAGTGCAATTCTAGATGCTGGAGAAACGTAGATAGAGAGGTGTTGATGCTGCTCTCCTAGAAATCAGGGCGGAGTGGCTTGAATCTCAGTGATGTGAACTGGGACAAGACATTCAGCAGGACTGAGCTGCAACTTTCTCACCTGTGAAATGAAGGTATTAATATTGATCTCAAGGGCTACGGTGAGCATTTAAAGAGAAGACTTCATCAGCTGCCTAACAGAGTGCCAGTCTCATACAAGTAGATGCTCAATAAATATCAACTTTTGTCCTCTTCACCTTCCTTGCCGTCTACCTCACCGTTGCCATGGTTTTCTCCTCTGTGCCTGGGATCAGGCTGGCAGCTTCCCTGCTCTCGTGGTAACTGTGCTCCTTCGAAGCCTCATCTGGCTTCCAGGCAGTCTGGTAGCTGTGTTAAAATTCCAGTGCTCTCTGCAGGATGAGGAAGGGTTGCAGAGCAGCAAGGACAAGAGCAAAGAGAGGAGGACACTTTGCTACTTATAGTCTGTAGGGAGACTGTCTGAAAGGAGGAGATGGCCTGGCTCTCTTTGTCTCTCTACCTTCCCTCTCATCAGCCCTCGGCGTCAGCTGCAAGACCAGAGTGGTCGGCTTGCTCAGCATCTGCACAGGCTCAGAGGGCCTTGCACAGCTTGGAGCTTTTCCATGCTCCCCGACACAGGGTAAGGTTCGAAGCCAACTCTGACTTGACTGGGCTTTATAAATCCAAATCAGAGCTGGCCCTGAAGGACTTGACAAGGTTGTACCGGCTAAAAGACAACTGCTTTATCTTCAAAAAGAAAAAGCGCGATGGATCACTAGACGATCCTTTCACTTTAATACAGTGCAAGCAAGTTATGGAAGCAAAGAAGGATGCAGAAACCATCGGCGTGATCCAATTCGAAGGTTAAGCAAAGGGTGATTGACATCAATAAAATCCTTGCTGAGTTTCAGAGCAGACTGGTTAGCCAAATGACATCTTTGTGTTGAAATGTTCAGAGTCAAATTCTCAGTCGCAAGCACCTAACCTTAAAGACTATCTTCCCTCCCCTCCCCATCCTCCCCTTCACTCCTCTTCTGCCCTCCTTCTGCCCACTCCTGACCCCCACCTCCTTCTCTCTGCCTCTCCTCCCTCATATATGGAGATGGGCATAATGCTGTGAATCACACAGGAAATCAGCCCTTTGGCAACTGAAAAACTAAGAGAAAAGATAATAAAACTGGCACCTAAATATGATAAGAAGAGCATATGCCACAAAGCACAGGAAAATTAACAATTAAGTGTAATGATAGTTTTCTTTCATGTCTCAGCTTAATAGTCACTTTTTCAGTGATGCCTTCTTTGATCTCTCCCTATACGTTGGCTTCATATCCCTTTATCACGTTGTGTTGCTATGTTTTTATTTCTATTATTTGTTTACTGTCTGTCTAAATCCCTAGGATGTAAATTTTTGGAGGGCAGGCACTATTTCTATCTTGTATCCCATAATACTACCCAAGATTTCCTCATGAAGAGATGGAAGCCTGGGTCTAGGGCAAAGGGAAAATCAGTGTTCCAGCAAAGGAAGCAGCCAGGGAGAATATCCAGGAGTGGGAAGAGTGACGTGTCTGTCTGCCTGGCAGGGGAGGTAACATGAAGGAGACTCCTGGCTATGGCCAGGAAGGATGCCATGGCCCCAAATCCTGAAGTTCCATCCATGGGGGGCAGCAGAGATTAGACGAGTGGGGATTGGGACCAGAGGAATAACGCTATAAGATGTGTCAATGTTTGTGGAGCCAGAAGAAAGTATGGAGTAGGTAAATGTTTTAAAACTGAAGGGTGGCTAAAACAATTTGTCATGGAATATTATTCATCCATTTAACAAATGCTGGTTGAGTGCCAGCCATATGCCAGCCACCACTCAAGGCTGGGAAGACGCTCCATGAGCAGACAGGCACAGGCTTGAGACGGAGCTTATAAGCTGGTGGAGAGAAACAGACAATAAACACACAAATAAGCAAGTGGGCAACAAATCAACAAACAGTATGATCATTTCAGATAATGAATGAGGGAGAGGAGATGGGCAGAGTGACAGTCAGGCACAGAGAGTGGAGGAACTCATCGGCTGTGATGAGGAATGTGGATTTTGTTCCGAATACAAAGGGAGGTGGAGGATGTTAAACAGAGGAAGGACATGAAGTAGTTTATCAAAAAGATCTTATGGCTTGCTCTATGGAGAATGGACTTCAGAGGAGTGAAGGGAAAGATGAAACAGAGAGACCAGTTGAAGGACATGGTGTAGTCCAGGGCAGAGATGTTAGGGACTGGAGAAACGTAGAATGCAGCATGAGTTCTAAAGCTATAGATCACACGACTTACCACTTGGGATATAAGGAAAGAAAAGAATCATGGATGATGCCTCAACTTGGGGCAAGCATTATTGAATGGATTGTGGTACCAGTTTATTAGATTGGGAGACTTGGGGAGAAGTATGTTTTTAGAGGCATGACTTGAGATTTCTGTATGAATATGTTAAGTTGGGTTATTAAAAAGCATACTTACAAAGACTTCAGAATATAATCCATGGGAAATATTTTTGTTAGGATGTAGAAATGTAGAAAACAAAATTATATACAGAGTATCTCTTCAATAATTGTATATATAAACAGAAAAAATAAAGGAAATGTTATTAGAGGATATGACTAATGCATATTTTTGTGGCTGAGGATTATGGTCAATACTTGCTTCATTATACTTTCTGTATTCTCTAAATTTTTTACATGAAGCAGTATTATTTTTATGAACCAAAAAAAATTTAAGTCATCACAGAAGATAATTTAGCTTTCTTATTCTGACTCTTACTTGGTTTAATTGGCTTTAGACCATTTTCTAGGAAATTTATAGAAAAAACAACCCTAAAAGGTAAAGGAGTAGAAAGTGAGCAGAGATATTCAAGTATATAATGAATGAGTCACATATCAAAGAAATACTTTGAAAGATACTAAAGTTCCAGGCCTGAAGTCAGCGTGATGCTCTAGAGGAGAATAGGATACCAGAGGCTAACAGTGGTATAAGTTCTTTGTTCTCATCATCATCTATGCATGTGCCACCCATAGTGAAGTCTTGAATAAGACAGAATCAGGATCTCCTGAGATGGATGCACATAATCCCATGCCTATTGCAGCCATTGTGAATTGATACAGCTCTCTTAATGCTGAGCCCAGCAGCTTTCTTCGCATTACTCCAGGCAGCCATTATCAATTGACCCATAAGTTAGAGCTTATCTGTCACACTGAAGTCGAGGAACCTCTGTTCTTGTTAACAAGCTTTGGTCTTGTTCCATCGTAGATGATGGAGTCACACTATTAAAATGTTCTTACCTTTCCTGTTTCCTTTGGGAGCTAATGTATCCTCTTCTATACTGTCTATTCTCAGGGATTTAATTCCTTCTAACACAAAACCCTTGTTTTCAAGTTGGAAATGGAAAAAGCAAAGAACAGTGCTCTGCAAATGACCTAGCATGATGGTTAAAAGAAAACAAGGGAGGCCAATTTGGGCTAGCTAAAAATAGAATTTGATTTCAGGGAAGCTTTCGCAATTATTTTTATTAAAGTAAATCCAGCTGAAGAACTTTTCAAGACTCCATGGGAAAGAGCAGAGTGGAGTTGAAGGAGCTGGGAGACTCGGTTTAGAGACCTGGTTCCATTCTTCTACTTGTTGAAGAAACTTGGAAGATGAGTTTTGATGAACTTCAGTGTATGTGAAATTAGCTTGGACTATCTATCTTGTAGTGTTAGGAGAATCAAGTGAAACAGGTTGTAGCAGAGGACTTTGTAAACCCCATTAAATACACAAATATAAATTTCCCATGTGGTCAGAGCTTTAGCCAACAATGGTGTTATTAGAAATCTCTAGAATGGTGATGAAGAATGGTGGGCTGTAAAAAATAAATCCCGTCGTAAGTTATTTCTTCTTTCCTTCTTCTCATCCTCCTTCTTATTCTTTTAATTTTAATTTCCAATTTAAATTGTGGGATAAATTGTTGTGGGATAGTACTAATTTTTACACCTCATTAAAGCATTTTGTAGACTGAAGAGTAAGAAATATGTAACTCTAAATCTATGTCAGGAAAACCAGGGATCTTCAAATGCTACCTTCTCCTTGAAGCTCCTCCTAATTTCCCTAAAAGGTGTAATTTCTTCATTTTTAAAATTTCCCCAGAAATTTGTTTGTAGTTGTACTTACCATACTCTCATTTTACCTTCTCTCAAGCTTCCTTCCCACCAGATTTTCGGTTCATTGAAGAGAGATACCCAATTTAACTTACTTTTCTATAACTTCACTGCCAAACACATAATGAAAGCTAAATATAAAATTATTCAATTCAATTCATTTTTTTCCCACAATTGTCAGGAGCCTACCACCTGCTCAGCTCTGTGCAAATAGAGTGGAAATAAGTTGCTCTGTTGGAGGGTACACATAAGTATTTTCAGAAACAGAGCATTTATTAAAAGGAGTTTGAGAGTTTCCTAAATTCCTATGTAATTGAGGTTTAGATTTCTCCAAAATAAAAAATCAGAGTCTACGGATCAATCACGTATTTCAAGCAAACAGCAATATCCATGAAAATCTGCTCAAAGGGGAAGATGCTGCCTTATATCTCCACCAAACCCGTGTTCATCATTCCAGGCTTGGAATGGCTTTTCTGGAGATTTTAGGGCTCGATCTGACTCTCCTTGCTCTTCTGTGCTGGGGCACTTTGGGGACGTTGGTTTGAGGTGAGTCTTCCCTTCAGAGTTTGTTCTTTCTGGTTCTTTCTCAGAGCCCCCAATATCCATGGCTGCCTTGGGGCCAAGAGGCAACAGCAGGAGAAATAGTAACTATCCTAGAATTGTTTGTCAAGACTGGTGAAGGAACTCCCCAACTAGTCATCTTTTCCACATTTTCTCCCCTAGTTTCCAGTTAGTGCTGAGGAGCTGGCCAACCTTTCACAGCGGAATTCCATTACAAGTCCACTTCTGCATGCCCAGCCCCTCAGCCCCCTTCTTTCTCCCAACTCCCAGAAGATTGAGGAGCTGTGCTTCTGCTCCCACAGCACCCAGTGCTGCCTCTGTTGTCCCTCCTGCCCCTGGGAGTGCCAATGGTCTGTCTTAGTCCTGAGTTTTTTAAACCTGGGAAGAAGTCTCATTCCTCTTCCTCTTCTTCCCAGAGCCTAGCAGATGCCATGCATACACTAGGTGCTTAGTACATATTTGTTGAACAAATAAATCCTTCCCACTGAAAGTGATCTCTTTCTCCTCTCCTACAGCCATGCTTCACTTTGATGCTTCCTTCTTAAATCTCAGCAATTTCAAAACAGATATTAGAATTTTGTCTGCCCAAGATCAGAGTCCTGTCATATATCCAGGTGGAGAGAAAGTTGCCTAAGATTAGATTCCAGGGCTACTTACTTTTTAATACTTAAATCTTAGTCTTGTCCTCAACGAATCATTATTGAGCTTTTCCCGTGTGTCAGAAATGTAGAAGCTTGAGACAGCGGAGGACGTGATGGACACAGCATCCCTGCCTTCAAGGATTGGAAAGTCTATTAGGAGAGACTGGTTGCTAAAACCTAACATGAAGGTTCTAAGAGGGAAGTGCAGTCAGGAATCTGTGGGAGCACCAAGTCGTGCATGCATTCATTCAATATTTCTACAGAGGCTAAATTTTGCCAATCATAGTGTCAGATGGCTATGATACAAAAGGTTTGATACAGTCTCTGCCTTCGTGGTGCATAAGATCGATCAGCTGAGATAGGCAGTTATGTTGACAGTTATTTTCTGACATTTAAAGTATTTTAATGCTAAACACATGCACCTGTTGTGATGGAGTACCATAGAAGGAACGAGGGAAGAGATTTGAGCTTGAGTTTTTAAGGAAAAGAATGGATTTGCCAGGGAGACCTAATGGCCCAGATCATGAATGCTGGTGAGTCTGACTAAAGGGTTTAAGACATTATCCTGTGAACAAAGGGGAGGCACTGATGGTTTTTAAGAGGGGAAGTGACATGATCAGATTTGTGTTTTAGATAGATGGCTCTGGTAGCAGAGAAAGATAGATGGTGTGAGGGGAGAGAAACTCACAGCAGTGACAGCAGTTGGAAGGTGGTTGAAATCGTCCAGGCTTCCAATAAATGTTTGTTGTTAAAGAGACAAACATCAGAAGACCCCACTGTGCATTGGGGCCTCCAAGGGAGGAGCCATGCATGTTGGGGTGCCACTTGCTAGGCAGAAGAGAGACATCTTTGCCCTGGCTGCCCCTTTGTGCCTGGTGTCCCACAGAGGAAGTCCCTGAAGACTAGCAAGCTTCATGAACAGAAGGCACATTATTGATGTCCTTTTCCAAAGATAAAATGTAGTCCAACATTCCAGGATGATTAGATAAATTTGTAAATATAATCAAAACATGTTTTTCTTTGGTTTCCAGGATGGAATCAGAAAAATAATGCTCAAGGGGGAAAAAGAAATACATCTGTTCTTTTTTCTGCCTGTTTTTTTTTTTTTTTTCTGACTCTGGGCCAATCAACTGAGAATCCAAACTCTGGTAGCTAGATTATTTAGCCAGGTTAGTTCCTGGAGGCCTTGGACCATGGCAAAAATCATGTGCATCAGACTAGACTGGCCCCACAGCCTATAACTACGACACCCTTGGCTATTAGAAAGAGGGAGTAATTTTCTTCCACTCTAAGATCTAGAAAAAATTCCACAGGAGACTTGACAATTCAGATATTTGAGAATTGTTTTACTTTTCAAGATGGGGGATGCTATAAGGCTGTTCTGACTTGTCAGAACCATTCCAGGCCCACCTTGATGCAGATCAGAGCACTTAGGATGACATGATTTGGCCCCTTCAGGCTTCCGTAAATCATGATGTCCTGAGACCAGAAATCAAAAAGGTCATGGGTCTGATCTTGACACCTGGATGTTGACACATTTACATGGAAAAGACTAATTCCTTATGAGGAGCTGGCAAGATGAATTGATGTGAATGACGAAAGCAAAACAGACAAAAAGCAAATGTCATGCTTATCACCACAATCCCACCAAGTGCTTTTCATGGACAATTATATTGAATTTTTGTGAAAGTCTACAGGGATTGTTGCTGCTACCATCTTCTTTTTTTCACAGGAGGGTAGGAGGATTAGAAAGATACATGAAGGGGCTGGCCCCATGGCCGGGTGGTTAAGTTCATGCACTCTGCCTTCGGCGGCCCAGTGTTTCACCGGGTCGGATCCTAGGCGTGGACATGGCACCACTCATCAGGCCACATTGAGGCAGCGTCCCACATGCCACAACTAGGAGGACCCACAACTAAAAATATACAACTCTGTACTGGGGGCATTAGGAGAGAAAAAGCAGGGGGGAAGAAAGATTGGCAACAGTTGTTAGCTCAGGTGCCAATCTTTAAAGAAAAAAAAAGAAAGATACATGAAAAAAATTATTTATGAATCTTTGGAACCCAGTGAAATTCAGGAAGCATCTTTGACCTTGGGGGTCTCTCTCTTGGGCAGAATACTTTGTACTCCATGGTGCAGAAGTTCTCTAGATTGTGCTATAGAAACAGTGTACAACGTGTTGGATCTCAGCCTTTACTCCTAAGCTCTAAACCTGGGGTCAGTAGACCCTTCTGTAAATGGCCACATAGTGAATATTTTAGGTTTTGCTGGCCACGGGGTCTCTGTCACAGCCCATCAGCTCTGTCTGCTGCTATAGCATGAAAGCAGCCGTAGATGCTAAATAAGTGATTGGGCGTGGCTCTATTTGGACAATACACAAACATGTGGTCAGCTGGATTTGGCTGGCAGGTGGGCTGTAGAAGTTTGCCAAACTCTGTTCTAGAAACACATGAAAGTGGGATCAGAAAAGAACAAGTAGCCAGTAATTCAATCACAAATACTTAGTAAGTATCCAATGACTAATGTATGCCTGGGAGAAGTTCACAGTCTAACAGAGAGAACAGATACTTTTGGAACTAATTACAGTAACTAGTTGTGGTATGAATAGAGAAGTTCAGAATGCTGCAGAAACACAAAGTGAGCTGATAAATCCTTCTGGGAGAGTTGGAGAAGGTTTCATGGAGGGAGTACCATTTTAACCAGATCAATCCTTCTCCTTTTCCCACCCTTGGAAGACATTGCTAATCTACTTCTGCACTATTCTCGCCACCCCCAGACACAACAACATAATCCTACTGAGCTCAGAGGCTCAGGAATCAACACAACTGAGCAACATTGCTTTTACCATGGGAAATATAACCTTTTTCCACTCTTCCTCTTAAATAATGAATAGGAGATTCCCAGCAAGGAAGGAAAGCATTAGAGACAAGAGGGGCACTGGGGGAAGGAACGGAATGCAAGGACAGGCACAGTGCTCACAGGAAAGCAAAATTTCATTGAAAAAGGAGCAAGGAATTCAGAGAGGACAGGGGGCTGGAGATAAAGATGGATGTGGGGGCTGCGGTCAGGACACAAGGAGTCACCAAGTCACACTGGGGTTCTGACTTATTTCATCAATATAGTGTTGTGAGCCTGCTTGTATTTGAGAAAACTCTGGCAGCAATTTGAATGTTGGATTAAAAGTTGAAGGGTATAGGAGGAGAATGGGGAGCAAGGAAAGACTTTTTTAGAGGCTGTTGAAAACATCTGTGAGAAGTAACAAATATCTATTCTAAGACACTGGTGGTAGGGATGAAGCAGATGAGGAGAAAATAGACTTCATACTAATTAAAGGTGCAAAATCTTCAGTTCTTGGCTATCAAATTGGATGTAGAATTAAGAGGAAGAGACCAGAATAATACTCCACCTTAGATGACAGGTGGCTTCTGCCCTCCAATGACTAGACAGACATAAGAAAGAATGTAATCAAGCCAATACGCCTAATGTCCTGATTTGAATAAAATCTTGAAAATCTGTGCAAAGTAGAGAAGTCGGGAAAGAGGGAAACATCAGCCTTGGATGTTGGGGAAAACCTCAGCTGATTTTAATTTTTAATTCCCACTTCTTTATACTGCAGCCACAGAATCGAATACGACATTGCATCCCTCCCGTTAGCTCATTAGCAATGAAGGATCTGATCTTTACAAGAAAAATTGGGAAATTTCACCACAGATGGGAATGCCTTGATTGCTTGGTGAGGCTGTGACTGCACAGTCAGCAACAGGTGCTGTTGCTTTTGTAGAACCCTGTGCTTCAAAAGACAAGCTGAGACTCCGAAATGGTTGGTGAATAACAATTTACACTGATTGCAAAATCCTGATCTTGTTTTTCTCATGTTTCCCTCTTATATTGAGCAAGTGGAGGTGCCATTTTCATTCCACCTATTTTAAATATGCACTTACAAAATTTTTTGTACTCTGGAAGTCCTATAGCCCACCATACCTTTTCATTCCTCATTCTGTTCTCATCTCATGGCCCTCTCATACTGTGCAGATCTCCTAATAACAACAAAGGAAGAATATTCTTCCTAAGAAACACTGACAACATGAGATGGCTATCTTTGATAATTTGGAAGTGCCTAATCTTTCCCTTTGGCAAAAAAAAAAAAAAAAAGCTGATAGAAATATCCATTCTTTACTTGCAGAAAGTTAATGACAAATCCAGCCAGAGTGAACAGATGGAGTGACAAGTGACAGCCCATCTTATATATATGAATGTGAGTATTGAGGGCATTTAAAGCCTTAAAAACATGAATAGAGGTTGGAGTTACGTGAACCAAGTACAGAGGATGCTAGATGGATTAAAGAGATATTGTGAGTCTTTCTCAGTTTATAGGGGCCGCTGCCAAATTGAGTAATATTGTTCCTCTTCTTTGAAAGATACATGTGAGACACAATAGCCCCTATGAATGACCATCTCTCTTGGATTTGTGTGGAAAAAAGAATCCATTTGTAATGCACTTTTAATAGTCTTATCCAAGATATGCCTTTCTCATATATGAAACAGTTCATATGCTTATTTTTGGCATCATCTCCTTTAGAAGGACTTGATGGTCATATTAACTTAAGCTCTAAAAGTCTATATCGTGCATAAAAACATGGCCCAAAAAATTTTAAGCTATTTTTAAAGTCAATCTTCAACTAAGATAATTGACAAGCAGCTCCAATATACTTTGTTAAATCTTCCAAAAATGTCTTTTCTTTAAAATTGGGCTCAGTACTGATGAATAAAATAGTCTTGTAGAAGTTGCTTAACCTCTCCTCAACTCAATTTCTCAGCTAGAAATTGGGGGTGATTTTGGTATCTGCTTTGCAAGATTTTCAGAAGTAGAGAAAAGCATTTTTGAAATGGAACACAGTACCTGGTTGATAGTAAGCAAGCAATGAATAGCTACGATGATGTTCATGGTGATTGTGATTCAAACAGCAATTAAATTAACAGTATTATAGACCTTCTCAGGCCTGGTGAGCTTCTGTAGTTTGCAGCCATCATGTGGAAGCACATATGTTTTTGGAGGATACAGAGCTAAATGGTCAATGACCACTTTCAAAAAAAAAGTATAATGCTCTTGTTCTCTGCTGCTGACCTTTTTCTCAATGACCTCTTTCCCTCCCCATTTTCCACTTAGACCCATTAGCAGGATGTGCTGCAATATGCTGCTTGTCATCTGTTTCAAAGACACAGTGATAGGATACAGGTACACCAGATGGATAAACCTAGTGTGACTAATTATTGTGTATTTGCCTTTAATTATTATCATTTATTACCAGAGGAAAGACAATTGAGCTTCTCTGACTCAGAAGAAACTGTTGGCACCAGAGAAGTTTTTCTTGTAATGTTATTGAATACAGCTAAAGTTTTCATTGTTGGTGAAAAGAAAAGACAAGACAAGCTCACTCCTGTGATAGATAGACAGAGAGATAGATGATAGATAGATAAAATTTCACTGATTAACATTTAATCTCATTGGCTTCAATATATATCTAACTTTAATTTTTAAAGACTGTTTCAGAGAATTTGGGATCTTGATCTTCCAGTATCTTTTCTAACTTTTTCACAGAACAGTCCTTCAAATAATTAGGCCAAGAGTGTGTGATGATGATGATGGAGATTTTAGGAGAGGAATTTGAATCTAGAAAGTCATCTCCAGATTTAAAAAAAATAGGCATTTGCAAAGGAGTCTTTCATCACTTCTATTTTGCTTTTTCTTTCATTATGAGATAGTATTTTAAAAAACTGTGACTTCTTATTATGCTCCAATCATGAAAGAGACAATTTTAAAAGCATGGAAGCTTTTTACCCTAAAGTTAAGAACTGAGCCACTTTATGGGAAACTTCTAGGGGGAAAGTTTCTACTCAAGTACATTTCTTATTTAGACAAGCATATGCATCATAATGGAGTTTAAAATCAGCATAAGTGGTTTGGCATATTGGCCAAAATTCCAAAATAGCCACAACTCCTCTGCTATGGAATAATGAATCAGAAGAAATCTAAATGAGAAGAAAATGCTCTGTGATATTATGGAACTTGCATTTTTGTGAAGAGATTCTTTTTCTTTTAATTTCATGAAGCGGTCTGTTTTAGAGAAACATCTGCGTAGTAGAGTTTTATTGAGTGGCATAAAGAAATACAGAAACAGTAACAATGAAGTCTCCTCTAGTAATAAATTATAGGTAAGGCTAATCCTTCAAAAGACGTTTGAGTCTGTATTTTCCCCCTTTTCTAGATTCAAGGATCATATGGATATAAGTATAAAAATAGGAATTTGGAAGTTTGCAAGTAGAAAGAGAAGAAAAGTAGATAGTGAAGCTAGAATAGCTGTTTTTGAAATGAAATTATAGAAGTGGAACCAGAAGCTGAGAGGAAGTGCAGTCCAGTCTTGGGCTAACCCAGTGCATCTGCTGGGTAGGAGGGAGAGAAGCTTGGTTCGATGGAGGTGGGCGTGAGCCCCTGCAAGCACCAGCACATTTTTTCCTAACTATGTGTGGTGAACATTTATCACTTTTTAGACTTCCCAATATCATTTTCCACTTCTGAAGAGCTCCTTTATTTCCTCCCCTTCCTCCATGGAAATAGTCTCTCAGCCAAGAGACAGAATTAGAGTAACTGGAGGCTCTCATCCTAGGTTGTGAATTTCGAGTCGAGTGAATTTTCAGTAGACTGAAAATAGGTGCGTTTCACTGCATCCTGACCATACTGTTCAAGCTTCAAAACTCTGTCTGTGGTTCCTGCTTCCTGGCCTCTGAAACTGCTTTGTACCTCAACAGTGTATACACCTTCTTGGAATAGCAGCCAGATCTGAGATCTACTTGCCTCATCAAGCTTCCTTTGATCCCTGATAGCCTTTCAATAAACTCCCTTCCCTCACACTAGTTAGAAACAGTTTCTCTTCCTTGCAACGAAAGCAACCTTACTGATAACTCTGTGCAATAGTTCACAGATTTTTTTAAAAAGTTGCCCGTTATGTTTTTCCCATCTCCAGCATCCAAGTTATACTGTTCCTCTGGCACCCAACTAGTTGGAGGCAACAGACTTTCCAATTGACTTGGACATTAGATATAGCTACTCTTATTGTAAGATGCATATATAACTCTATACTTGTGATACAACTTTGCTTAAATATTTGTTTATGTTCTTGTACTATAATATGAAGCTTTAATGTAATTGATTCTAAGCCAGTTTTAGAATATGAAATTAAAAAGAAAGACATCAATAATCAATGACTGTGGCAGAAGTGTCTGCCATTCTTTTTTCTTGTCTTTTCAGGTTTGTGCTTCCCCATCTGCGTGAGATGTGTCCATTGACTTGCTTTGACCAATGGGGGAAGACACGTGTGTCTTCTTTGTGTAAAAGAACTGCTTTGTTCTCCACCACTTTCTTGCCCTTGCTACAGCAATGGGAGACTCCCAATGATGGAGCCTTCATCAGCCTGAGTCTCTGAGTGAGGATTTTGTAGAGAAGAGCCCCTCACAAATCTAAAGATGGACGTGTCACATAAGTGAGAAATAAACCATGGATTTAAGTCATGGAAATGTGTTGTTGTTATTGGAGCAAAGCTTAGCCTACCCGGACTACAATAGTATGGCATGATTGAAGGAGTGCCAGAGTGATAGTTAGGAGCACTAAGTTTATTTCCTATACTGCTGCTAATGAACGAAGTGGCCTTGGACGAGTCATTTAAGTCCACTTGAATCATTCATCTACTCTCAAAATTTATTGGTGGGTGACTGAGGGTCAGATCACATGAGTGAAAGATTTACAGTGGCTCTCAGTGCCTGAAGGCTCCGCAGAGGAGTTCCAGAGGTTGGCTTCCATCACAGCAGCTCCACCTCATTTGTTTGATGCGATGTGAGGTTATGTAGAATATTTAATATTTAATTTAGATAAATGTTTTCTTGGTTAAAGTATTTGAAAACCCCCAAACTTGATAATTTCCAAATTTCAATTTGCTTCTCTGATTCTCCTTCTATTTAATCTTTGTTAAAATGATCAGCTGTGTCATCCTGTTTATCTATCAGAATCTTTCAAAAAGACTTTTATCTAAGTGATTCCTTTCTTCCAAAGAAAGGGTGGTGAAGTAAACCTGTGCCAAACATTCTTGGAGATATTTTCATCTTTGACCTACTCAAAAACCTCAATGAAAGGTGACTGACTTCATCTAATGATGAAGAAAGTGAAGCTGAGCAGAGTGAAATTCTTTCCTCCTGGAAGACACAGAAGTAGAAATTTAATCCAGCGCTTTATACACCCCCAGACCATCCTCCTTTAGTTATGTTATACCTTTATACTAAATCTTATGAATCTGATTACTTCTCCAATTAATGGAAAGTTTTAAATGAACCTCATATCTGGAGTTAATTTCTCCTTTGTGCAAAAACTCAGGCAATCCTTGGTATTCTAATTTATAAATAGAGATTTTCTTTGGACAATGATTCTATGGAATTACATGTTTTCCCCCATTTCCTCTATGCTATGAATTAAAATGTAGAAATCCTGGTTCTGGATTCTATTTTTCAAACAACAATTGCTTCTGTCTAATACAGAGCTGTGACTAAAGGAATGAGTTATCACACAGACTCATTAGATAGGCTGAGACTACCGACTCAGCTACTATATTCTGATGCTCATTTTCCTATGATTGGATAAATATCTGCCCCCTGGGAAAGGGTGACTTTTAAAACCCTTTCTTAATAGTCTATTAATAATCATTAGAAGGGAGTAGATAAAGTGTGTATCATTCTTCAATCTACATCTACTCATAGAAAGTAAAACAGAGATAGGTAGTGGGATTCAACGGATGACAGTGGCATAGCAGAAGACACTGTGAACAGATGGCTCTGGGACTCAAGAACATGACCTTTCAGACCAGATTGGGAAAAGGGAAGACAACATACCACTGAAAACCCTGTACTTTCAGAAAGTCACTCATTTAAGCAGCAGATATTAATTGAGGACCTACTATGTAACACATACTGTTTCAGGCCCTAAACCAAATAGACTTTTTCTCCTCTGTCTCCGTGGAGTCTTCAGGAGAGCTAAAACAAAAATGGCTTTGAGTGATCATGACGTGCCAATGCAGGTTCACCAGTTGCAACAAATGTGCCATTGTGGTGGGCACATTGATAATGGGGGAGGCTACGCGTGTATGGGGGCAGGGGGTATATAGGAAATCTCTATACCTTCCTCTGATTTTGTTGTGAACCTAAAACTTCTGTAAAGTATAAAGTCTTAAAAACTAAAAACTAAAAAACACAGAAACCTATATGGAATTCAAGAGCCATCAATAGTTCTGAAAGCTGCTCCCCCCAAATTAATCTGTAGTACTTTTAAGTCTTTAGACGGCTGGAAGAAACCCCTAGAGACCTCTTATTCCCAAGGGTAGCCTTCTAAGAGATCAGTAGTCACTGGGTACCATTAATGTTGCTGAAGTTGTTTACTTACTCCCTGATTTATTCATTCATTCGACAAACACTTATTCAGCCTCTGCTATGTGTTAGCATCTGAGGTCCAGAAGTATAATCCATATGACATATAGTCTCTGCATTCATTGGACATATATTTCAGTAGGCGAGTCAATAATAAGTAATTAAAATAAATAAAAAAGATTTTGAATATTTTTCTTTTTTTTTTAAAGATTGGCACCTGAGCTAACAACTGTTGCCAATCTTTTTTTTTTTCTTCTGCTCTCTCTCCCCCAATCCCCCCTGGTACATAGTTGTATATCTTAGTTGCAGATCCTTCTAGTTGTGGCATGTGGGACGCTGCCTCAACATGGCCTGACGAGCAGTGCCATGTCTGCGCCCAGGATCCGAACCAGCAAAACCCTGGGCTGCTGCAGCGGAGCGCTCAAACTTAACCACTCGTCCACGGAGCTGGCCCCTAAATTTTTGATCAATGCTATTTTGTTATAAATTTTAGAGACCTCACACTGAACTTTATTTTATTGATTGATTATTTATATTGTGGTAATATTTGTTTATAACATTATATAAATTTCAGGTGTATATCATTATATTTTGATTTCTGTGTAGATTACATGATGTTCACCACCCAAAGACTAACTACAATCTATCACCACACACATGCGCCTAATCATCCCTTTCACCCTCCTCCCTCCTCCCTTCCCCTCTCGTAACCACGAATCCAATCTCTGTCTCTGTTTGTTTGTTGTTGTTTTTCCTTCTGTTTATGAGTGAGATCATACGGTATTTGACATCAAGCTCCATCCATGTTGTCACAAATGACTGGATTTCATTATTTCTTATGGCTGAGTAGTATTCCATTGTGTGTATATACCACACCTTCTTTATCCATTCGTTCCTTGCTGGGCACCTAGGTTGCTTCCAAGTTTTGGCTATTGTGAATAATGCTGCAATGAACGTAGGGGTGCATATGTCTTTATGCATTCGTGTCTTCACATTCTTTGGATAAATACCCAGCAGTGGAATAGATGGATCATATGGTAGTTCTATTAGTTTTTTGAGGAATCTCCATACTGTTTTCCGTAGAAGATGTATCAGTTTGCACTCCCACTAGCAGTGTATGAGAGTTCCCTTTTCTCCACATCTTCTCCAACACTTATTATTTCCTATCTTGTTAGCTATAGCCATTCTGATGGAGAGAGGTGATATCTTATTGTGGTTTTGATTTGCATTTCCCTGATAATTAGTGATGTTGAACATCTTTTCATATGCCTGTTGGGTATATGTATATCTTCTTGGAGAAATGTCTGTTTAGATCTTTTGCCCATTTTTTAATCGGCTTGTTGGTTTTTTTTTGTTGTTGAGATATGTGAATTCTTTATATATTTTGGATATTAACCACTTATCAGATATGTGGTTTGAAAATATATTATCCTAATTGTTAGGTTGTCGTTTCATTTTATTTATTACTTCCTTTGCTGTGAAGCAGCTTTATAGTTTGGTGGAGTCCCATTTGTTAATTGTTTCTATTGTTTCCCTTGCCCAGTCAGACATGGTACTGAAAATATGCTGCTAAGACCAATGTTGAAGAGAGTACTGCCTATGTTTTTTCTAGAAGTTTCATGGTTTCAGGTTTTACATTCAAGTCTTTAATCTATTTTGAGTTAATTTTTGTGCATAGTGTAAGATAACGATCTACTTTCATTCTTTTGCATGTGGCTGTCCAGTTTTACCAACACCATTTATTGAAGAGACTTGCCTTTCTCCATTGTATGTTCTTGGCACCCTTGTTGAAAATTAGCTGTATAGAGTTATGAAGGTTTATTTCTGGGTTCTCCATTCTGTTCCACTGATCTGTGTGTCTGTTTCTGTGCCAGCACCTTGCTGTTTTGATTACTATGGCTTTGTAGCATAGTTTGAAGTCAGGGAGTGTGATACCTCTATCTTTGTCCTATTTTCTCAGGATTCCTTTGGCTATTTGGGGTCTTTTGTTGTTCCGTATAAATTTCATTTTTCTTTGTTCTACGTCTGTGAAAAAGGTCATTGGAATTTTGATAGAGATTGCATTGAATCTGTGGATTGCTTTAGAAAGCATGGACATTTTAACTATGTTGCCTTCCAATCCAAGAGCATGGAACATCTTTCCATTTCTTTGTGTCTTCTCCAACGTACAGGTCTTTCATCTCTTTGGCTAAGTTTGTTCCTAGGTATTTTCTTCTTTTTGTTGCAATTGTAAATGGGATTGTATTCTTAATTTCTCTGTCTGCTCTTTGTTTTTGGTGTATAGAAACGCAACTGATTTTTGTATGTTGATTTGGTATCCTGAAACTTTACCATATTCTTTTCTTTTCTTTTTTTTTTTTTTTTTTTGAGGAAGGTTAGTCCTGAGCTAACAGCTGTTGCCTATCCTCCTCTTTTTGCTGAGGATGACTGGCCCTGAGCTAATACTAATATCCATGCCCATCTTCCTCTACTTTATATGTAGGATGCCTACCACAGCATGGCTTGCCAAGCGGTGCCGTGTCCGCACCCGGGATCTGAACCGGCGAACCCCGGGCCGCTGAAGCAGAACGTGCACACTTAACCGATGTGCCACTGGGCCGGCCCATCTTTTCTTATTTCTAAAAGTTTTTTGGTGGATTCTTATTGTTTTCTATATATAAAATCTTGTCATCTGAAAACTGTGACAGTTTCACTTCTTTCTTTCTAATTTGAATCCCTTTTATTTCTTTTCTTTGCCTGATTGTTCTGGCTAGGACTTTCAATACTATGTTAAATAAGAGTGGTGAAAGGGGGCCTCCTTGTCTGGTTCCTGTTCTTAGAGGGATAGCTTTCAGGTTTTCTCCATTGAGAATGATATTAGCTGTGGGTTTGTCATATATGGCCTTGATTATGTTGAGATACCTTGCTTCTACACTTTAAATATGGCAGAGGTTCAAATGAAGGAATAAGCCTTGACATAATTCCTCCCCAGATCAGACTGTTCATACACTGATTGATTAATAAATGCACTCAATTATTCACCAAAGAGTTATTGAATGTCTACTCTGTTAGGCATTGGATCCACAAGGGTGAGTATGACTCTGTCCATGCCCATAAGGTCA